AAGCACTGTCCATTCCTTTAAATTATTACTACTATATTATAGGAAAAATCTTGGAGATAATGGGTATGCCTGCAGAAACTATCTTTTGACACCCGTTTTAAACCCTATTACACAGGCTGTAAGAAATTACAATTTTGCACATAGGTCCATCCGAAATATAATTTCGGTGTTTCATGATTTGGAAAAGACGATTTTTATGCTTAAAGAGGAGCATCAGTACAAAACCAGAGACTGTAGTTACAATTATTTGTGCATCGGCAGTATTGCATAATTTAAGAAGAAAACGATTTATTAAGTTATTACTTTTTTTAGTAGTAAAAAAGTTAGTATAATTTTAGTTTATAGTGTATATTATCGGTTCAGTGATTGTGTTTCGTTTATTACTAAGAATTGGTAATAGCAGAAGTATGCGGAAAAGAAAACATAACCCTATTATAAGTAATAAAAGTTCGTCAGAACTAGTCTAGTCGGGATAGTGATGTCGAACGTTATAGGAATAAGAAATCGGAAAGGCAGGACTCACAAGATTAAGGAAAACGTTCTAAATCACACCATCACGTGAATACCTGCAATAATCGGCAGACGCTCTCGTTCTAGAACAAATAAAAATGATTCTAGAAAACGTTCTGAATCATATACTCGGGAACGTCTCCGATCACGTACATCAGATTCAAGGAAACGTCCAGAATCTAACTGTGATTCCCAAATAAAATCAACAAATCGTCCTAAATCGCAAGTTGTTGTAGTAAGATGAAATGACCTACCTGTTCACCTTGTAATGTGTCTCCAGATGGAGGAAATGATGTTAAAACGACAGCGAGACGAATTGAAAGGTTAGAAAACATGATTAAATACATTTAAGTAGACAGACATAATCAATGGAAAATAGACCTGAAGCACCCAGATTAACGGTTAAAAGTGACTGTATCCCCGAATTTTCGCCTGAAAATAACAACTTAACGGCACAATAATGGCTTTCAAAAATCTACCAGTTAAAGAACACCGAGCAGGACGTTATCAAACTCCAGAGACCATGTATGAAGAATATTTGTCCACATTAAACGTTGATGTTACTTTTACTATTAGTCGACAAAAATATAAAGTAATGAAGTTACCAGATTATGCAGACTCAAGAACTAACATTAGAAAACAATAAAACAGATGGGAACCCAAGTGTTTTAACTGCAGTCAACGTGGTCACATTGCTTCCAAATGCCTAAAACCTCGAAAGGAATGTAAAAAGTGCAAGCTTTTGGGACACGAGACAAAGGATGTTACGGGTTTTATTCTCCCTAAATCTATTCCAGTCTAAAATTACCCTAGTTTACACTACTCTAAACTATTCTAACCTATCCTATTTCCTAGTCTACCCTATTGTAAATTATTCTAAACTTAAACTACTCTAAACTAGGTTTTTCTATTCTAGACTATCCTAAACTATTCTAAACTAATCTAAATTATTCTAACTTATTCTAATGTCTATCCTACCCTATCCTAAATTAGTCTAATCTATCATACCTATTCCTATTACTATTCTACACTTAACTATTTACACTATTCTACTTCTAATCTACCCTACGCTTAGCTATGTACACTATTCTACTTCTATTTAATTTTAACTTACCCTAAGCTATTCTAATTACTAGACTAATCTATTACTTACCTATTCTACTATAACCTATGCTAATCTCTTTAGTTACCTTTCGATTTAAGAGTGTGCGGTATATAAATGTATACAAATCAATAAAATGGGTCCATTGAATAAATTCATAAAATATCCATTTTTATCAAACATATGTTGTAGTAAAATATAAAATAATATTTTGTAATAAAGTATAATCTCACCTGGAGTATATTCAATTATAATTAATACCTTAATAAATAATTTAAAATGTAAATAGATATATTTCGCTACTTTGAACAATAACTCTAGCTCATTTAATTACCAAAAAGCTTTATTTTTATTGTTATTGTTTACATGTCAATTTTAACTCTTTCAGTTGTCAGATTCTTCTAAATTTATAAATATTGACCACAGTCTTACCAGAAATTATCCTATTAGCCTTTTGTAGTCAGGGCCTTCTTGCTAAGACATTGACTTTTGTTGGCCATTTTGTGGAACTTCCTTCCTGGCCCAGTTTTTGCTTGGATTCTGATCGTGGCATGTGCCAAGATTTTAACTAGGATTTTCTAGGATTTATTCTTGTGCAAAAACCAGAGATTCCTTAGTCCGATATATTGTTAGTGATCTTTGTGATTCATACACCTAGTGGTGGATATATTATCGGCTAAAAGTGTGAATTTGATTTAATAAATTAATAACTAAAAGGTCACATACCATCAAGGGTGAGTTTTTCAAAAGAAATTATTAGTTCACTTACCTATATTCCCAACAGCCTTCTGTATACATAATTGTTACAATCGTCAATGTTTTTCAGACCTCCTTGGTTCGCCCCTTTCATTCGTGCAAATCGTGCGTTCCTTCGCTCATTCAGCTTTGCAATTCTGCATACAGGCTTTTATTAGAGGAGTACTTCTGGGGACTGTGGGCAAGTTCTCTCCACCTCTCCATAAAGAATAGGGCTTCTCCCCGTCACCGTTTGCGTGCTAGCAACAAAGAACCGACAATTGGATAACCGAACACGAAATAATTTTCATAGCGGTCTACTTACAGACATCAAGAGGAAGCTACCTCACTGGACATCGTCCTTCATTGAGTGCACTTAATCCCAAGTAAGACGGTTCCTTTTTTTCTAACCCTATATTTCGGAGGGCCCCCATCTACTAACGCGATTAGGTTGTTGAGACTCAGCCTACAACCAACATAATAGTTAAGTACCTTATTTAATAATCAATTTATTTTGTATATATACTTATTAATTGTAATATTCACCTACCGGTTTTTTTTTCCTTTGTAATACGAAGAGCTCTACGTACGTAACCGCACTTTTACCACCCACTTGGAGGGTTATATATTATAAGTGTATGTAAATTAAAGGTGAGAGTAGTTGTTGAAACGCCTCGTACATAATAATTTTCTTTTGTTCCTAATAATAGTAATAATAATCCACATTTCGTAATATTTGGTACGCATGGGAATTTTTTGGTTATAATTTTGACAGCCGAGGTTATAAGAAAATAAAGGCCCGTTCACATTCCATCAATCAAATTCTTTTTCTTCTTTCTATTTTACAGGAACCTACCCCCTGAGGATTACTAGTCAACCTGATTAGGGGGTTCGGTAATTTGGAACCCCTTAATCAGGACAGGCTATCCGTAATAAGGATTGTAAGTTTGATAAATCAGGTGAGTCCAAACCTACTTTAAACGTGGCCTTTAGACCAGGTATATATGAAAATAACACTTGTTATTTTATTGACAGTTTCGTAACTGAAAATATTCTACAAGGGTATGTTGACACCGGAAGTAATGCAGTTACTTTACGCGAGTCTGACGTCAGTACTTTGGGTTTATGGTTGCATCATGTACAGAAACGTCTGAACGGGTACGCAGGCGGTTCTGTAATTGTAAGACACAATTTTTTTATTGTTTTTGTACAATTATACTGAAGTATTTTTTTAAAATTTATATACATTAATATTTATACACACCTACATTTTTATACAATATTTTAAATACCTAACTAATTTAATTCGAATTTAATATGAAGGCAAGTTGATTTGGTAAATATAAAATTACAAGCGTTATCATCATTATCAGATCTTTCTGACGACGAAGGCGCTCATCCAGTTATAAGACATATCAGGGAAAGAGATGACCACTTTGAGTAACGAGGAATTTGTATTGAGATTTCGATTTTCCAAGCAGAGTGTGATGAATTTAGTACACAATATTGGACACAGAGTCATTTCAGCAAACAATTGGGGATTTATTAAATATTCACAAGTCCACCGTCGGCAGAATTATCCACCAAGTAACGCACCAAATATGTAGATTGAGAAATGATTTTATTAAAATGCCGCTTGGAGAGGAGTTAAGTTCCACAATAGTTGGATTTTATTCAATTTCTGGATTTCCGCGTGTAGTTGGATCTCTTAAATGCACCCACAGTAAAATAAATTCGCCGAGTGGCAATAAAGCTGAACTTTTTAGAAACCGCAAACAGTTTTTTTCGATTAATATGCAAGTGGTTTGCGACAGCAATTTAAATTTTTTAGACATTATTGCCAGATGGCCAGGTTCTGTCCATAACAGCACAATTTTTAATAATTCTCCACTATGTGGTGCAATGGAAAATTTTGAAAATGTGCACTGATTACCCATAAAAAAGATTTGTTATTGCATAGTAAAAAAACATAAGGAGTCTGAAAACGATTAATGCCCGTAATTATAGACCAACCTAGAGGCGATGCTCAAGGCGTACTCAGCGAAGTACGCCTTAAGTCTCAAGTATGCGTTGACATTTTTAAACCGACCTTCGACGGTGCTTGGCTGATTACGGATATTTCCGGAGGGTAGCGACAATTTTAGTTCTAAGTAAGGATTTTAACCTTGACAGCTGAGGCCGTAAAGTAAAAAAGAAGAATTTTAACGGTGGCAGCTAAGGATTAAAAGAATTTTAACCCTATATTTTTTATCGTGTTATCTTAAGTTTTGGTGTTACGTTAATCTATTTTAAAATTATTTAATTTTATTTGTGATTAATATAATATAATTATCAAAGTAAGTATATCTACTAGAAAAATTCCAGTAACTTGTTTTTAATCAATATATTTACTTCTTATTTGTTGTAGAATGAACAAATCTGCAGCCTACACTGCGTAAGAAAAAATTCTTTTGGCCCAGCTAGTTCGAGAAAATGAGGTGGTTGAAAATAAGAAAACAGATGCTGCCACTTTGGAGCAAAAATCCAAGGCGTGGGAGCTAATCACCAAGGCTTATAATTCCCAGCCTGAGACAAGCTGTCCACGAAATTTTTTTCAGCTTAAAAAGCTGTGGAATAATTTAAAGCAGAGGTATTTATTAAATAATAAAATAATATGTTAGCTAAAAGGCGGTTTTTAAGGAAACGTAAGCAAACTACAGAGAAAAGTTCCAAAATGCTTTTGACTGGAGGTGGTCCAGTAAAGAAGCCTACACCTGACCCAGTATTGGACTTTGTGGAGGATGCTGCTCCAAATATGGACATTACAGTCACGTGTCCCTTTGATAGCAGTGTAGTATTTGAAAATGGTATAATTTGATAGGTACATAATTTGTTATAACCCAATGCTAATAAGTATTGTGTAGTAGTTGCTGAGGCCAAAGAGTTTGAGGATCCCATTACAGATCCCATTGTTCCAAAACAACAGGATTTTAAGGTTTTGTCTTCAGGTAAATAAGTTTTTTAAGTTTACATAAGCTACTTTTACTAATACTAACATTTTTAGTTTCTACTGGCAGAATCGTAGAAAAACCAAAAAACATTTTTTCTGCAACTGAAAAAAATTTAAGAATACAAAAAATGCATGAGGGTATTCAGTAGCAAAAAGAAATTTATGATCTTCGAAATAAGATTATGGAAGAAGAAAGAGAGTTTGGATTAAAAAAGGTAGAGTTGAACTGAAGAAGGCAGAAGATGAGGCTAAATTAGCTTCTTTAAAACTATGTGAATATAAGCATCAGGTACCTATTATTTTGTTTATTTGATTTATTATTACTATTATTTTATTATTATTCTTACTATTATTATTTTCTTAGATGAATATACACGGGTCGTAGTCTAGGATTCATGGTTGAAGTTGTAGTTAGTTAGTATTTAGTTTTTGATATTTTTAATTTTGCTTAAACTTAATTTTTATTACATAAAATGGAAAAAATATCTTTTGGTTTAATATATAAATTGAGAATCAATACATTTTAAATTGAATATAAAAATACTTTTACTTCAGTTATTTAGGATCCTTATGTTCAGTAAGAACAAACTTTTTAAGTCGTCTGAACGTAGTGAGCGAAAAGCCCCAAAATTTTGTTTAAAGAAAACGATAATTTACAAAACATTTAAAGTACCTACATGTTCAAAAGTAATACATTAACACTTGATTATATCTTACAATAAAATAATCTAATCCAAAATGTGTTTCAATAAAGTGTCTTCGAAAATCTAGTCCTCGTTCAAATACTTTTTTTACAATTCCGCTTAACGAAGGTTGAGTAATGCCTCGAAGATCACCCGAAACAACTTGAAAATTTGAGGTAGCATAAAACCTTAAACATATTAATAACTGAATTATTGGTGGTATTGGTAAACCACGATTATCTGGTTTTTGCAATCTATCAAAAACTAAAGGCAAAATTGTGTCCACAACAGTCTTTTTTCGAAAACGGTATCGTATCCTAAACTCTTCGACGTTAAAAAACTCCAGAGAATTTTCTGCATCACGAATATATCGTTTCGGCACTCGTTGTGGGTTTTCTTCAACAACAACATTAATATACTCTAAAAAATCGTCTAATTCTTCAAACATTTTGATTATTTATTTTTATTAATATCAATACAAACAAAAAAAATAATTTATGGTTGTTTTAGGTTAGAAATACAAAATCAAATGTCAAACGCGTGCTCAAGTCAGGTAATATCCTACCTTAAGGTCGACTCAAGAATCTCAAGATTTTATGCACGTTTTTTGTACTGCGAAGCATCGGCGGAGCACGAGGTTGGTTTATCGAATGGCAGCGAAGCTTGAGTCGTGCTCAAGTATTGATCAAGTATCGAGGAAGACTCAAGTTCGGTTTATAAATACGGGCATCAATGCTAGCCCAATCATAAAATCACAGATTTTGAGAAACACATATTTATTTAAAGAAAAGTTGCTGAATTAAAAATAGCTGCATTTATCGCAGAATACTGTGCAACAAGAACCACAGAATACTGTGCAACAAGAACCGCAGATTACTTCAGTGATTTAATTAATAATTTGGATACAAATTCTGAACTACTTAGCGAAGTGAAGATGTACAGGACCAAATGTACTGCTTTAATAGTGAACGTTATTGCACCGTCTTTATTAGAGGACCTTATTTTGGACATTGGGACTGAGAAATGTTCCTTCACTATTGACGAGAATACAGCTGTGGATAGTTCAAAAATGATGTCTATGATTATTAAATATTTAAATATATCATGGCAGTAAATAGTAACAACTTTTTATGGGTTAATCGAAATTGAGGCTGAATAAAAAATCCTTTGCCAATTGAAAATTTAATAGAAATCGGAGTTGATGTTTGTAATGCCATTTCAACTATATTTGAAAACTATGACGCACTAAAATTTGATAATTATTAAGAGCGTTTGCCATTCACTGCACCTAGCCGCCGAACACTCTTTTGCGAAACTCCCAAAACATTTGGATTTCCAAATTAAAGAATCACAATACTGGTTTAGTTGTAGTTCCAAAGGTCAAATCGCATATAAAAAACTGTTTTAAACAATTAATGAAAAAACTCCTACAAATTAAGCTGAACAAGTTGGTTGTCACGATCCAATGCTATAAAGAAAACTCCATATCATTTTTAAATAACCAGAGATAATTAACGCTGTTGTGTAGCTTAACAACTGTTGGAAAGTATTTTATTACTTCCCATATACTTTGAAAAATTCCTGACATTGCTTTGATTTCTTTTAATTTTAAGAAGTATGTGATGAGTGGATAATTCATTAATTTTGAATTTACATTTAATGAGGCGTCAAAAGTCATTGCCAAAGCTGATCTAAGTCTAGTAGGAGAAAAGTGTAAACTGTTAACAGTTTTTGATGAAGTTATGTGACCAAATTCAGTATCGTTCACCTCCTAACATTAATATTTTACAAAAAATAACTTTTCTGACACCTGAAAATGCCACAGCACAAATTAAAAGACCAAATATAACATCACTTTCTACCAGCTGTAAAAGTATATGTAAAGATGTTGATGCTACAATTAACGAATGGAACGCCCTCCATCGAATTGAATGGCAGAATACGGAACACCCTGAATCTTAATGGGTAGAGGTTGCCCAAAATAAAAATGCTGTTGGCGAAATATCACTTATTTTGCTTCCATTTTCTAATTCCACTGTGGAAAGAGCATTTTCAATTGCTAATATAGTAAAAAAACCAAATTCGGAACAGGGCTGTGCAAGTTTTACACCAACTGACAATATGTTCAAAATTCAAGCATATACCAGTCCTTTTCGGTTTGTTTTGGATATGTGTATAGAATAATGTATGTTCCGTTTCATTATTAGGTATTAAGATTTATTTTTATTATTAGCAATCCTAATGTGTGTTGTTTTTTACTGCAAATATAAATATTATGCGTTTTCCTTTGGGGTTTGGTTCCGGTTCTGGTTAACCAAATTAGAACCAACCATTTTCCTTTCATAGACAATGACGTCACTTATAACCACTTGGTTATTTTGAACCAGCCTCGCCAGTCGGTTCTAATTTGCGGTATGTTCTATCTATATTTAAAAAGAATTCATCTCATTGTCTAACTTTTTTAAATTTAGTTTTCCCGCGGAACCTAAATAGTTCCGTATGAGGTCAACTAATCTTTTCTTATAAATATAAATAAAGGAAAAAAGACAATAATATAAATAAAAGATAAAATATGTAATGATCGACAAAACTTCCTAGGAATGTTTAGTATTTGGGATGAAATCTTAAGGGTGTGTATTGGAGATGAAACGGGTAAGGCCGGATAGCCGAATATCCGGCCCAACGTCTAGCGCCTGATGTGAGGATTCGAACGTCGCACAGGCGCAGCGAACGCGATTAGCAGGCCGAGGAAGATAGTGCGGCCATTGGAAGGAAAATCAGTTGTTTGCTCGCTGCTTGCTACGTGATCTGCGTCGTAGAAAACAATTAAAACATGTCAATGGTGAAAAAAAAGATCGTCTATTTGGCAATATTTTGAAATAGATAAGGAAAATAATAAGTTTTTTGTGCCAGGTTAAAATTTATTATTATTATTTACCACAAAAAGATTTATGTATTAAAGTTGATTTCAGGGAATTGTCACGAATTGTGTCGTAATTATTGAATATCCGGTATCCGGCCGGATATTAAGCTACTATCCGACATCAGGCCGGATATTAAATTTAGGCCGAATACCAGATAGTTTCCGGATATCCATTTCATCTCTAATGTGTATGTGTTAAAAATAAATAAAATATGTAATGATCGACAAAACTTCCTAGGAATGTTTAGTATTCAGGATGAAATCTTAAGGGTGTGTGTGTTTATTTTAACACCATAAAGATTATTGGGTCGATTCTGCGGCACGTCTGTAAGCTAATCTGTAACTTTACAGAGGTATTGCTATTCTGCGCACAGATAAACGTTACAGAATCCTTTAAATTCCTTACAGATTTGATAAACATTTACGTGTCAGTTAACCGCTGTCGTAGTGATACAGAAAAATTGATTTGCAATTTTTTTTGTTTAAAAAATATGAACAATCAAGCAGTGGCAATATTTATTGGAATTTGATTAGATGAAGATTATAATAGGTAAGAAAAAGTACTTGTTAATAAAAAAATACGGTCGTGGTCGAATTTTCTGACACATAAATTTGATCAAAATTCACCAAAATTCACTTAACTTTTTTTAAAGGAATACATACCTACTATAATTGCAAACTATGATTAGATATTCTTATTCTATTTTAGGAATTTTAAGAGAATTCTACGAAAACGTCTGAGAGATCAGATAAATCCCTTCGATATGACAAACAGTGCTTTTATTCAAATGTTTAGATTAAACAAACAAAGTGTAATGAATTTAATCAACATCCTACAACGACATGTAAAAATTAGAAATAATAATTCCATTCCACTAGTAAAAAAGTAGGTACCTATACATTTAAAATTAAAAAAATATATATATTTTGGATTACATTTTCAGGTGCTTATAACTCTCAATTTTGTAAGTGTGGGGTCTTACCAAAATTCAGTAGGAACAAATGCTTGGCTTTCTACTAGTCAAAGCACAGTAAGCAGGTCAACAGCTGAAATTTGTTCAGCAATTGTTCAACATTTATTGCCAATAAGGGTAACATTTCCTACTGAAAATGAACAAATCTTGGCCGTTAAACAAGAGTAAATATAAGATTGAATCTGAATATGTTTTGAAATTTTAAATACATATTTTTAGGTTTTTTAGAAAATATGGTTTTTGAGGCATAATAGGAGCAATAATGATGGTACACATGTGGAAATCCTTGCTCCTCCTGAAACTGATGCAAATCACCCACCTTTTGTGTACATAAATAGAAAAGGAAAACACTCTATAAACGTCATGCTCGTAATTAAAAGAAGACAACTGTATAATCCCTATTTAAAAATATTTTAGGTATCAGATGCCCAAAATCGAATTTTAGGCTGTAATGCACGTTTTCCTGGTTCTGTGCATGACTCTGCAGTTTGGCAAGTTAGTGCCATAAGAAATCATTTGGAAATTAATTATGCCAATGGTGACCATAACACTCATTTAATAGGCATACCTATGAATATTTAAAAAAGAAATGTCATTACATTAAATTACATTACATTAAAATAGTGGTTATCCTTTAGAACCATGGTTGTTTACCCCATTTTTAAATCCCAGAAACCATCAGGAGGAAGCATTTAACAATACATTAACATCTGCTCGTAATGTAATAGAAAGAACCAATGGCATTTTAATAGGAAGATTTCGCTGTTTGTCCAGACACCGAACACTTATTTATCACCCAATAGGGGCAGCTAACATTATTTACGCATGTTATGTTCTGCATAATATTGCATTAAATGCAGATTTAAACTTAGATGAAGGGGAAGTTGAATATCCAGTGGAAGACAACAATCATATTAATGGTAATTATTTAAATAGGTTCATACCTACTTTTTTATATAACACTTGATGATTTTTTTATTTTTAGATATACCTGCACACAATAGAAACATTTTTCAATTGGAAGCCGAAGCAAGAACTGCCTGCCTATATTAGAAATAATTATTAGAGTGTATGAATATTAAAATAAACATTCATAAGTTTTAATTGTTATTTGAATTCACAACAAAACTTTTAAAAATATCACAAATAAAAAAAATAAATAAAATTGCAATGTAGTCTCCACATTTATAATGGTTTTAACCAAATAGGTAACATTAAACCCAAAACATGTTCTAAACATAAATAAATTGTTCACATAAAACTAAAAAACAGCCAATATAAAAGAACATATTTGACTAAAACAAAAATATTCAAAAACAGTTTACATAAGATTAAAAAAATACATAAAATAAAAAACACTTATATTTAAAAAAGTAAAGTAAAAAGTCGGTATTACAGATGAAAATCTGGATGTAAAAATTAAAATTTTTTTATTTCAAAATTTAGTTTCTGTTTTTTCAATTCGTATTTTTTTTTTTTTTCAATATTTAAATAACCCTCTGTAAAATTTTCTATTTGATTTGATAATTTTTCTGAAATATTATTATTATTTCCAGAGATTTCTATTAAATTTTCGGCCAACACTGAGAGGGGCTTATGTCTTTGTCTTTTCCTTAGGGTACTTGGGGTATTTTCAACAGTTATTATGAGGGTTTCACTTTGATTTTCCTCCTCCTCTTCTTCTCCTTCTTCAGGTATATTATATACTGCCTCTTCTGGTTCATCCTGATTTTCTACTGGAGTATCCTTATTAATTGGAATACCCTCATAATTAGTAACCATGGTATTCCCCTCTACTGTTACCATTCCCCAAGCTCTCAATGACCTTTCTTCTAAGGGGCTCAATTTAGCATCAATAGCAGGTCCGCCACCTGTTTTAATACTATAATTAAATATTCTTCGATATTTTGCTTTTGTAGCATATCTCCAATCTGCAAATCTCTAAAATGCAAAAAATTATAAACAATTATTAATTAATGATGTATTACGAACCTTTTTCCACTCTTCAGCAGACAAAGCTGGACCTTTACCAATCGCATTTAGCTTGTTAGACAATTCTTCCCATTTTTTTGACAAATAATTGGGTTCCAAAGTTGGATTTAAAGTATTGCTTTTTAAAACGTAATCATTTTCAATTGCCTCTAAATAAAGTTCATATTGTTCGGCAGTGGTATTTTTTAATCTCTTTCTTTTTTTTTTTATTAATACTGAAAAAACATTAGATATTATTTATTTCATTTTAACATACACTATAAAAAGTATAAAATATTAATGTATTACCTCATTTTAAAATCACGCTTAACAAATTTTTAAATAATCAGCATACAAAACAAAAAATTGGACTAGAACAAAATCAAAATAATGTTACAAAACTACTACCAAAACCAAACCAAAAATGTTTTTTGTTGGTTAGAAAGAGTGAAAAACAAATAAACTGAAGTTGCTGCACTTTGCAGTAGGTCAAATGTACTTCTGTAAACTAATCCATTATAGAAAAGATCCCAGAATTCGAAAATTACAGATTTTGTAAAATTGTGTCTACAGAAAATGTGGATGCTACAGATTTGTAAATTTTACGAAAATCGCAGAATCGACCCACAAGTCTGGTACTGGAATGAGATACACAAAATGTGTCACTATTTTTCAAGGGAAGATTATCATTGTGTTTATCACTAGAAAAAGGTCTACATGGTTCGTTAAATGCTTTGTCGGTAGTGTCGGTTTTATTTCTATTTTATTTTAATTTTAAAGCCGTTTTAATTAGTTAATATTATTATCGTCTGTGAATTGTCCTGTCGGTAGTGTCTATTTTATTTTAATATTAAAGACTTTTAAATTAGTTAAAATTCTTTCTACTATATCATATAGCTTTAGTGTTTCTATAGTGGTAGTTTAAAAAAATGGAATCAGTAGATTTTATTTTAAATAATAATTTAATTTCATTTGAAGCGACAATTGAAGAATGTGTTAGTTTACTTAATGGTACGTATACTTATATTATTTTTAAAAATCATATGTAATTTGTAATTTAAATTATAGATGATGAATACACATTGGATTTCATTACCAGAGCTGGACATACTGAATCATTAATACAGTATGGCATTACAGCCGATAATTTTCCCGATGTAATCAGGGCATCTAAACAACTCCATGCTCCAGAAGCTTTAAGGAGGATTGAAGCAAATGAGCGAAATGTTAATGGTAAATTTTAAAATAATTCTACTTATAATTTTTTGATTTCATTTTATTATTTTAGTTAATGAATGCGATATTGAATCTCAAAAAAAAGTGTACAGAAGTAGATGAGATTAGCCAGTTCTGGACCAAGGTCAGAGGTACAGAGAAAGGTAATTGGGTAATTAGTAATTATCCTAAGTACCCACCCACCACCCTTCGCGCAATTTGCAAGTACCCCCCCAATTACTATCATGTTCTGTAATAAGTGTAGTTACCTAGTGTAATTGCGTAGTGTAATAGCACCTCTCATTACTCCATATACATAGCGGTGTAAGTACCTCTCAGAGGGTATTTACTATGTATATCATGCAGTGTGTAACGAGCATGGTAATTACCCATACTCATCGAAGTAAGTACCTCTTAGATAGTAATTACTATGTATATCATATAATGAGTTTAGTCTAAATACATCTCAGTGATTACTATTGTGGCATAGGGAAAATAAGTCCATGTCCAAACACATCCTTGACTCTCAACCGCCATAGCTAGAGTGAGGCGCTAGTCTTCAGCAGACACGGGCCACGTAAACATTGGTGGAAGGGATAGAACCCCATCCTTCGCGCATCTTCAGACTTGTATATTATGAATAGTGGAGGGAAGCATATAAGAGGTGGGAATTTTTAGAGAGGGTATTCGAGATCCAGCAACTGTACGAGACGGTACTGTGTGACGAGCGGACTAGAACAGCCGAAGCAAAATCAGAAGCGTTGCGGAAGTCACTGCGAAAGCACACTCCCACTGAAGCACCTGAAGCAGAAGCACCCTAGGTCATATTTAGTATTTTTATCTAGTATTTTTGAAATTTCTTTTCAGAAATTTTAATTAGAAAAATATTTCCAAAGAAGAGTTCCTAAATAACGAACAAACCAAAAAGCCCTATTTCGAAAAATTCTTTTTAGAGTTTTTCTTAAAAAAGGCTAATTTTTCGAATAAGATTTGGTACTGATAACACTAACCTCATTTTTTACAGGTTAATAGCCCAATTTTGGAAAATTTCTTTTTAGAAATTTTCCTTAAAAAAGGTTATTATTCGCATTGCGAATTATTCGAATAGATTGATCTGTCATCATTTAAATAAACGACTTCTAATCCATTTCTTCTAGCTTGGGACTACCAGACGACTTCAAGACTTAGGACCTAAATATTGTAAGTATAAACAAACTAACAAATGTCATCCGACTAGGGTCAAGCCACCATTGCCGGGGTTAATAGCCCTTGAGTTGTGAGGTTGCAACTCACTAGTCGGATTAGGGACTCCCAAATTACTAACAAACTCAGCGAATTCCCCCAACAAACCTTCGTCACCACCATGGTGGTGACAAGAAAAAACTCCTACGCCGGATCGGCGGCATCTGCCCCGCAGCAATTCGGCCAAGGCCCTAATTCTATGGCCACTATCTCCTCCCCTGCCTCAAGCCATAGAAGTTCTAGCTCAATTCCTTCACTCATGGATCAAACGATCATCAAACCCTCCAACATTTTTCAAAATCTCCGTGAAAACTCCCCCCTAAAAACTCAACAACCCGCCCCAAACCCCACACTACCCAACAACCCCCCTAACAGACCCCTCCGCCCCACTCAAACACTCTTCGTTCTCAGGAACATCCCCGCCGCCTACTCCACCCAAAAAGCCTTATTCAATATATTGAATACCCAAGAACTATTCCGCTCCAACCTTGTTTTTGTTAAGGCTAACTTTAACAAAACGGCCCTAATCAAAACCACTTCGTCCAAAACCCCCACCGAGCTCCAGACCCTCATAAGGCAGCGAATGGGGGATAATAAACTTATCCTTAATCCCAAATACGCCCAAAACCCCCCTGAAAAAATCACTCGATCCCCCCCTGCCCCCCAATTCTCCCTTGTCATCCGCCAGGTTGATAAAAACATCTCTTTAGAAGAAATCCAGGCGGTTCTCGGGGACCTTAGCGTCCCCTATACGAAAGTATGGAGGATAAGGTCCCAGAAAACCCTCGAATTTACTTCTTTTATCAGGGTGTTGACTCCTTCAGAGTCTCACTATTCTTACTTAATCCGAGAGGGCTTCGGCATCTACGGCCGTAGACACCCAGTCGAACCCTCAAACCAAAACCCCCTGCCTCCCATTCCCAAATATTGCACTCAGTGCACCGGCCTTGGTCATTCGGCCTCTGAATGTTCCAAAAAACCCGCCTGTCCCAACGACGGGCAGCACCATAGGCCAGCTGACTGTAAAAAGTCAGAGGTGCCAAAATGCCCTAACTGTCGCGGCAACCACCCCGCATACTCAATCACCTGCCCCGAAAGACAAAAACCCCCCCAGAAACCTGAACAGGTTGCTCCCGTCTCCCTCCCAACATCCACCCCCCCCCCCCCCCCCCCAAGAGCTAACATCAGAGCTCAAAATATCAATCCAAATATTTTCTACTCTTCTGATGAACCTCCTCCCAAATAGTAGAGAAATACTCACTAAAATCTTGGGAACGCTAATCCCGGCCATATTCGGCCATTCATGCACCGTAACAGGTCATGGAAATTTAGCAATTTTCACCTACTCCCCGATAAACCCTGACCTTTAATGGATTGTCTTATCGGCACAATTAACTGCAATGGCCTCGCTCGGAAGAGGCCATTAATCAAAAATCTCCTAAATTCTGAAAATCTACAAATATTGTCTCTTACCGACACTAAGTCAAAACTTCCCCCCAGCTTCACTGGGTATCAAACAGTCCACTTAAATAAATCCCAAAACTCTTTTGGGAATGCACTTTTAATCAAAAATTCAATTCCATTCAACTCTCACACTTTTCCAGCTCATCTAGCTGATCTTGATATAATAGCAATAGACCTCCCGATAGACAATCCATTAACTATAATCTCGTACTATAACCGCCCAGGCCAAATCATCTCCCTACCACTGATAGAATATCTATCTTCCCTCCCTCGAGCCGTTTTGCTTGGAGATTTGAACTCCAGACATACCATGTTCGGAGATCACGCCTCTAACCCAAACGGAATCCGATTAGCTAATCTGCTCATAGACTTCCCCATATTCAGAGCCTCAAACCGACTTCCCACCTTCGTATCCCACCTGGGATCATCTATCATTGACCACATCCTCCTGACAGACTCCTGTACTGGACTGGTTGCTGATAGATGCTTCATAGGTGTTACGATCACCTCCGATCACCTTCCTTTGATGTTACACACATCTCTACTTGCTCCAATTCCTCCTAGAGCTACCATTCACACCTTCCGCAACCTCAAAAAAGCAGATTGGCCCCTATTTCAGAGAACTATCTCTACTAACATTCCAGAGTAACGCCCGCTCAACTCCCCACAGGACATCGACACCCTAATCGATGAAGTCCAAACATCCATCACCCACGCCGTCGAAACATCCACCCCTATCACTTCAATAAACACAGCCCAAAAAGCCCTCCCCCAATTCATCCTCACTCTCATCTCCCAAAAACGACGCCTGTATAGACAATACGTCCGTACCCACGACCCTGTCATCAAAACAGAATGGAACCGTCTCAACGCCCTGATCAGGCTCCAAATCAACTTGCACAAACAGCAACAATGGATCAATACCACCTCTAATTTGGATCATAGAGACGGCTCCAAGTTTTAGGACAAATTCCGTATAATCACGGGTCAAAAATCCAAAACCCACTCACACCTCCTAATCGACGGTCAAATTCACGCCACCCCCGACGAGAAAGCCCTGGCCCATAAAACTCACCTCGAAGCCACATTCAGAACCCCCGACAACCCCCACTTTGACGAACAATTCAAAATCGAGACCGAACATCACGTCCTTCAGACACTTGCCGCCCCACTCCCCCCTTTGGATGTCGAAAACCCCCTTACCGCCCCATTTACCCCCCAAGACATCCAATACGCCTGCCAAGCAGGCAAAAACACGGCCTCCGGGCCTAACTCCATTCACAGGAGAACACTGAAACATCTTCCTGAAACCATATTTCCTATTCTGACTCTTATCCTAAACTCCTGCCTCTCCTTATCCTATTTTCCACTTGCCTGGAAATCCGCAAACACCATTTTGATCCCCAAACCAGGCAAGGACCCCAAATCCCTAAATTCATACAGACCCATCTCTCTCATATCAGTCCTAGGTAAACTCCTCGAGCTTCTGCTCAAGGAAAGAATCTGGGAATTTTGTGAAGAGAGAAACATCATACCCCAATCCCAACATGGTTTCAGACCCCACCACTCCACCCAGGACGCAATATCTTCCCTTCACACTACCGCTGTCACGGCGGTAAATTCCCAGCAAATCTCCTCAGCCGTTCTCCTTGATGTTCAAAAAGCCTTTGACCAAGTCTGGCATGCCGGACTAGTCAAAAAACTTATGAACATAGGTCTCCCCCCCCAAATTTCGAAACTCATACACTCCTACCTCTCAGACAGAAAAATTACAGTCAAAGTGGGCAACTCCTTATCCGAAACATTCACCCCACTAGCAGGAGTCCCACAGGGCTCCGTCCTGGCCCCTCTCCTCTACCTCATTTACACTCACGACATTCCCCCCCCAAACCACCCCACATCCAAATGTCTGCTATACGCAGACGACACAGCTCTAATTTCGGTAGCCAAAAATTCTAACCAACTAAATATTCGAACCCAAAATCTGTTAAACCGGTACTCTCACTGGTGTAGCAGATGGAGGGTCTCATTAAATCCACAGAAAACTCAATTTATCGTCTTCAAACACCCAAATTCCAAAAGAACCTCTCAGAACCCCCAACTCGTAAACGTAAATCTCCTAGGAGTCAGGCTAGCTCAACAGACCGAAGTCGACTATTTGGGGGTATGATTTTCTCGTACTCTTAACTGGTCCTCTGACGTCCAACGCACTCTTGATAAGATGCGAAAGCGAGCCAGTCTCCTTGGAGCTTTGTGCGGGCGAATAGGGCGCTGTAACCCAGATACCCTCATCCATACTTATAATTCCTTCATCCGACCCGTTGCCGAATACAGAGCTATACCCTACGGTGTACTTCCCACACACCTGTCCCACAAACTCACCACACTCGAGAGACGTATCCTCAGACGATGCCAATACCTCCCCTATCGCTCCCCCAGCGGAGAAGTCTTTTTAAACACCCCCAACACCCCCATCCTCACACGTTTCCAGTCCCTCAGGAAACAATACGTCTCTCGCACGCTGAAAGGCACAAACACCCACTCCCAAAACACACTTCGTACCCCTTGGCGACCCAACCAACTCCCCCTCTTTCGAAAACCGAAAAGAAAAATGCCACAGCCGAATCTAAAACTCCTCACAGACGCCCAAGACCTCCCCCTCACCGCTGAACTCCAGGATCTGCTGGAATCAGCCCCGCTGAGTATAAGATAAACCTTCCCAAATTACTTAATTAGAAAATCAAAACACATGTACAATATCGTGGTTTAGGTTTTGTGGTTTTCCTAAATCATATTTCCCACCTCATACATGGACCTGTCCAATTATGGGGTTGGAAATAGCAAAATTGGCGATATTCTTGGGGAACAAACCTGCCACACAGGTCCCACACACACACACGCGCACAAAAGTTAGGAATTAGCTAGCTAGGTTACTTTTGTAATCAGGGCAGACCACCCTGAAAAGGAGGATAACTCCTATAGCAGGGAAATAGGAAAACAATATGTCCTAGAAAATGTAAAATACTTAAGATTTCCACTAATAAATCAAAAAAAAAAAAATCAAAAAAAAAGAGAGGGTATATAGTAGCATGCATATCCAAATTAAATCAGTTTAAAATCGTAAGTTTTAAGTTCCCTTACCTAATACCGAAATATTCGTAAAATAATAGACATGTATAAGTGTACTTTGTGGTTAAACATTTAGAAGGATAGATAATTTACATCGACATCAAAATAAAAGTTGTAAGATGATATCTAATCGCACCGGTGACTCATCCAGAGGAACGAAAAGATCCGACACTTGCAGCCCTGATGTTCTACCCGTAAAAAAATGCCCGGGTAGTGCGAGTTCCACAAGTACATACGCATCGCACCGTAGACTCACAAAGGCATAATGGGAGATGTGAATCATGTGATGTAGACATCCCTACCAAGCAGATGTCATCTCATATGAAAGAAAGAAAAAGCCTGCACAATTCATGCTGATGGTATATATTTAATTCAGAGTGCGTTTAAGTGCAGAATCGCAAGTTACAGAGTCAAAAGTGATGAAAAACATAGATTATATAACATTTTTTGATGCGATAAAATTTAGAATATTGGAATTGTTAAAAGTTGTTCTGAGGGCCCATAATGCCATTAAAGTTAATGTAGAGGTGTTCGCTCGCTACTTGTGTATTGCAAAGCCAAGATATTTCCGAAATCAAATCTTTTAAAAGCATAAATCGAATACTAGATTTGTCGACAGAGTTGGATGCGGTATATGCAGACTTTAAGGACGCCGTGGCATCTCAAACTGCGGACTTTCAACATAAGGATTCGGGGATAATAGTTTTTTAATATAATGTTAATTAATAAAGTATTCATTGTTTTAGGGTGGTCATTACAGGATGTACTATTTTTAGAAGTAAACATAAATAAGTACTCTCCACTAGGCGGCTGCTCGTACATAAAGTTCCCAAATTTATTGGAACCAAGAAGGGTGTAGTTAATGTGCAAAATAATGCATATTGCTTTGCTTGGGACATCACATCGGCACTGTATCCAGCGAGAGATCATGTTAGCCAAACATCGTATCCACACTTCGAGACCGTGCTGAATGTTGCGGGTATTGAATTTCCCATGAAGCTTAAAGACATTTCAAAATTTGAAGACTTAAATCATATAAGTGATAATGTTTATGGCTTAGAACGTAGTTATGAAAATGGTAAGGTGAAATGAGATAGTTGGCCAATTACGATATTCCCGTAGAAGGTTAGGTCATCATATACATTTACTACTAATAACGGACTATTCGGGTAATAGTCACTACTGTTGGATTACAAAGTCTTTCCAGATTAGTGTCGAGTCAAATAACTAGAAATGGTCATAAAAATTTTTTTGTGATGGATGTTTCTTTATTTTCCATCTGAAAGCGCCCTATTGCGGCATCAGTTGTGTGATTGTAATCATATATATATACCTGCACGCCATCAGTAAAAGCCAAAAAAAGACAAACGCGGCAATTATGTGCCTAAATATATACTTAAGTTTCAAAATTATGATAAGCAACTAAGAGTTCCATTTGTAATGTATGCTGATTTTGAATCAATATTAAAACCTATAGATATTTGCGAACCAGATCCAGAAAAAAAATTTACTATCCCTACATACCAACATGAGCCATATTCTTTCGCATATTTAATTAAATGTTCATTTGATAATTCATTGACGAAATTTGTAACTTTTACGGGTGATAATGCCGGTAGCGATTTCGTGAAACGGTTAGAGGACGATGTTTTGACTATTTATAATACGTATTTAAAAGACATTGTCCCTATGCACCAACTATTTAATGACGAAATAGAAAATTTAACACATCGACTATATGCTCTATTTGCGATGAGATCTTTCAGGAAGGCGATGTTAAAGTCAGAGATTATTGTCATATTATCGGTAAGAAAACACCTGGTGCCGCGCACATTAATTGTAATTTAAATTATAAAATCCCGCAATTTGTTCCAATATTTTATCATAATTTGAGTGGGGTACGACAGTCATTTATTTATTAAAGAATTATATGAAGAAGGTGAGAGGGCCGAAGTTATTGCCCAAAATGAAGATAAATATATTTTGTTCACTAAACCATTGTACACCCATAGCTATGTAGATAGAGATGGTATGTTATGATGATGAGGATTATGCAAGGGCTCAGAAAGTTTGGAATGTATTTAAATGTCAAACCTTGGGATCCTATTCTGATTTATATTTAAACACAGATGTTTTAATGTTGTCCGATATATTTGAAAATTTTAGGGATATATCGCTTAACTAGATCCGGCAAAATATTATACATATCCAGGGCTGTCATGGGATGCGATGTTGCGCTACACCAAGGTGGAGTTGGAACTGTTGACAAATATAGATGATTAATTTCTTCAGAAATAGTATACGCGGCGGTATCAACCAATGCGTAGAAAGAGAACATATCGCCAATAATCCGTATTCATCTGTATAATCCTTTCGAGCCGAAGTCTTCTATACATTATATCGATGCGACAAATCTCTATGGGTATAGCATGAGTTAGCCTCTGCACACGGGGAAATTTGTTTGGTTATCGACTGAGGAAATTCATCAAGTCGATGTTATGTCAGTTGATGATCTCGGGGATTATGGTTATGTATTAGAAGTTGATGTAACATATCCGCATCACCTTCAAGATAAACATACCGATTTACCATTTTTAGTAGAGAATATAGTTCCATCTAATTCCAAAACTGAAATCCCCAAACTGGTTCCCAATTTGAATCATAAAGACAAATACATATTACACTACAGAAACTTTAAAGAGGCCATAAATAATGGACTAATTGTTACTAAAATTCATCGCGCCCTCAAGTTTAAGCAGTCTCGTTGGCTGAAAAAATATATAGATCTTAATACAAATATGAGAAACAATGCTAAGGACACATCCGAGAAAAATCACTTTAAGCGAATGGTCAATAGTGTGTACGGGAAAACTATGGAAAATGTGGATGACAGACGCGATATTTACCTTAAAACTCACTGGGCTAGCAAGAGAAATTCCCCGGGGGCAAACAACTTAATTGCTAGACCGAATTTTGAGTCTTGTTCCATATTTTCAGAGAACTTTGTGGCTATACATATGGGTAGAACTAAAATATGTTATAACAAACCACTGTACGTAGGTTTCACGGTGTTGGAGTTGTCAAAAGTAAGAATGTATGATTTCTATTTCAACACATTAAAACAACAATTAGGCGATAAAGTTTCCTTACTGTACACAGATACTGATAGTTTTGTGCTTAAAGTTAATTCAATAAATTTTTATGAATTTATGAAAAGAAATTTGAACATTTCGACACATTTAATTATAAAGCGGATAATAAATTTAACCTCCCAGTAACTAAACCAATATTGGCAAATTTCAGAGATGAATATCCAAATCAGGCTTATCAGCATATTTTTAGGGAAAGGCGTCAAGGCCTATTATATTAGATCAGATGAAAAAGAGACCAACAGGAATATCGTAATAGACCTCGAAAAACTGTAGCCGAATTACGGTATAACTTAGCCAATATTGTAAATAATGGTAGCGATGAAAATAGATTAGATTTACTGTTAAGACTATTATTAGAAGAAATGTAAATTGAAAGTTTGTAATATATATGTAACAAACTAAGTTTATTTTTACAAAATTTTTAACTATCTCTCCCCTCCACTTCCTACTCATTCCTACCACAATAAATAGTGGGTGCTCATGGTCAGATATTCGTTCTGCCTTAGCCAGCCCAACCAGAAAACTTGTTAAAAAAATGTCTATCAACATAGCCACCATAATACCCAGAGAACAAGCCATAATTGACCATGTGATGTTGAATAAAACATGGGGGAAGTTCCAATCAGAAGTGAATATCCACAACAAATCAACATTGAACAAGGCCCATAAAAAGAAAATGTAGTATACATTACTGTTAGGTTAGCATAAAAAAATAAAAAATGTAAAAAGTTACTTTGAATATATATTTATACCAATTTCCGTCTATATTTTCCACCCGCCCACACCAAAATAGTAAGTACAACTGCCGGAGAACAAGCCAAAGGTCACCACGTGGTGATTAATAAAACAGAAATTTCTAGATGGAGTAGGTAAATAACTGAACGAACCAATTTTGAAGAAGTCAAGGATGGCAGTAGACAATTCGCTCAAAAATTATAGTAAGTCTCTGGCGGGGTTTTGTAAACCACGCTTCAATATCTCTCACCATAACTGACCACCCCACCGCCTCCTCCACTCCGCGGCGGGTTGGGAGGCTGGGGGGAGGGCGGGTTTGGGTGAGGGGCGGTTTTGGGGGATGCTACTCCTTTTTTTCTTCTTTTTTTCCTTTTTTTTTTTCGATGAAAAAGCCTCGTCGATGTTCTCCCCACTCTCTTCCACTCTTTATGTGTACTATACATACCCAGCACCCGGGCTCTAAAACTCAGTCTGCCCTAGATCACAACCGAAGACAGTCATGGCCGATGTCATTAAAATAGCAGAATGCGACTCGACATCTGAAATTATTACAGGGGTGTAGGAGCAGATTCCGATGACCTCTGTGATTCAACTACGGGTCTAAAAACTCGACGGCCATCGACAGCGCCCGGCCAATGCGACCCCGGGATCCTAATTCTGGACGAATGGTCGTATGGCACCGAGCCGAACACTGAGTCGGACGACTCAATGTCCGACGACTCGATGTCAGACTCAGATGGCGATTTTGACTCGAAATAGGGCATCTGTCTTCGTCCAAAAACGGTCCTTTTCAGGACCAACAAAAAACTTGTAAAAAAGCTGAGAAGGGGGCGGTATCCGACCCCCGAACTGGTGGGGGCCGGTCATTATCAGGACCAACAAAAAACTTGAAAAAACAGTTCCTTTTTAGAACCAACAAAAACTATGCGATGCTCGTTATTTACAACATGAGGCTGTGAGAGACTCCCACTCTCTCCCCTCCACTCCCACTCTGTCCTATCGCTATATATACGGAGACCAGCGGTAATAAATTCAGTTTACTTCAGTTAGCTGAGTCAACTACTTAACTTTCTTGCCTTATTTTTTCAAGTTCAAGCTCAACATGCATTCAATCGAAAACACCGTCGTCGCAACGAACTCCATCCTCCCAGCAGGAGAAACCGCCGCTGATACACCCTGCTCGATTGCATGCCGGACGATTTCGACATAGAGATGCTATTGATGACTGCAATGACTGCAAAACCTAGCCCTGTGACGCCGATGAAGTTGTCCTAGACTATGGTCGAAATCGCACCGGTACCGGCTCCGTTACCAGCCTGGCTAATCTCATCTACTTACAGACGAGTAGTCAAACTGATATTGTATGGGTCACCCATAAGAAATCGTCATTAGATAATGAAGCGACTAAATTTTTATTAAACCTTCGAGGAAGACCTGAATATCAGAGAATGTTTTCAGATAAAAAAAAATAAGAAAATTAATATTTGGCAAAAAATAGCGAAAGAAATGAAAAAGCACGGTACAGTTTAGGTGAATCTTTAAAACAAAACACCGAAAAATGCAGGCCGAAATTTGCAAACTTGCAGAAAGCTTATGTTAATTTTTTAGATTAGGTTAAATAAACAGGTGCAGAATTCCAAAGCATATTTTGACGACATTCATAAAATTTTAGGAGAAAAAGATAAAGTTACACCAACATTTTTAATCGATTCGATGACTTCCAATAATGAAAAACTCATACCCACTGATGTGGATCTAGCAGAAACAGGCCGATCAACACAAAATGTAGATATAAGTTCAGATGGTGAAACTCAAAACAGACCCCACAATGCCAAAAAATGGCTTTACAGCTGCAAAAAAAACAGGGAACAAAGTATTAAAAGTAATATTGTAGATGTGATAAATAAAGACCGGACATTTTAATCGCGTTCAAATAATTGGTTTTAATCACATAGGCGTCTCATTCTGGGTTCGCTATTTAAGACGGCAGACAGTGCGGCAGATTCTAATACTATCAGGACAAACCTCTTTTTTTTATTAAAACAAGATAAAAAAAGTGTACTGATATATACATAGACATTAAAACTAATACAAAAAAGTGAGATTTTTTTTTATCGTGTACCTATATTCTTTGTCTTTTGAATCATTTTCATTAAACAAATTTAATGTTTTCTTCTCACCAACGCCGAGGATATGTAGGATATTTTACAAAAGTTTTTAGTAACCTCAGATCCTTTAATTTGTGGCCTGAGAAATTTTCCTTAAAAAAAAATAACTTTTTTGATGAAGATGTTAAACTTTTCATAAGCGAGTTTAAGGTGTAGTAATGTAAACGATATTCTGTATGATATTTTTTTTATTATTATCTCTTATATAATTACAAAATATCTATTCCTCAATATTTTGGCGTGGTACACTACTCTCCTGCCTAAAATGAGGATCGAGGACCCCAGCTGCCTCCCCCGAATTTGTTATTTCCTCCAGAAAATTGGAAATTTCTAGCCTTAGCTGGTCCCGATTCATTGTTGGAGAAATTGCATCGGGGCCAAATATTAGGACTCTACGAGCGTTTGGACTAAGACGCTGTAGAGAGGGCCTAAAATGAATGTCAAATAGGCCCATCATATGTTGTCTTATACTTTCTCGATCCATTGTCGGTTAGTTGCCGGTGATATTTTTATTCAAATAAAGTCAATCCTTATATTATATTTATGAATATTTTGGCTTTTATCGATACCGTACATACCGATTTTTTGTAACAAAACATTTATGTTTTTATTTCCTGTGGATATTATGGTACTTATACACGATGAGACAATAAAATAAATGTCTGTTAAATTTCTGTAATGTATGTATTAATTCAATTGCTCACTCTATATAGGTATCTGTTGGTTGAAAAAATGTAAAAAGATAACAAAGAGTCGATAAACAGGAGATTTGAGAAGAAAGTGTCTTGTAAAAATATCACTAGATTTTTCCAATGAGTATATTTGTTTAGTTCAAAGGGAAAAGTGATAGAAACTGGAAACGTAAATATGGAAAATTTATTATCGGACTTTGATTGTTTTCGTCGTTTTAATGACAACAAATTATACTGCCGCAATTGTGATCAGGTGTTAGTTTTTAATGGAAAGTCAAGTATGACACAACATGTGAAAACACAAAAACACATGCAATCTTTAGAGGGATGTCCAGACAAAATCTTTTATGAAGATTTATGCAACGCATTTGTTTCTGCAAATATTCCATTAACAAAATTAAATAATACAATTTTCAAAAATTTTCTTTGTAAATATACTAAACGTAAAATACCGGATGAATCCACAATTAGAAAACATTATATTCAAAATCAGTACGATAAAGCAATGACGGCAATAAAAACGAAAATTTCCAGCAAATATATTTGGGTTAGTGCAGATGAAACGACTGACATAAAGGGTAGATGTGTTGTTAATGTTGTTGTAGGATTATTAAGTGCTGAAAATACTTCACAACAGTATTTAGTTTCTAGTGTGTTTCGTGAAACTGTGAACGCTGAAATGATTTATGAAATAGTGAAACGTGGATTGAACAATGTAATTGATAATGACGTTTCAAAAGTTTTATTGTTTATTTCAGACGCGGCAAGTGTAATGTTGAAAACAGGGAAACTATTACAAGAACATTTTCCAAACATGCTGCATGTAACTTGCCTTGCTCACGCGTTACACCGAGTTTGTGAGTTTATCCGTGACAGCTTTCCAGACATTAATTCGTTGATTAGCTGTTTTAAAAAAATTTTGTTAAAAGCACCGTCCCGAGTTTCTTTATATAAAGAAATATGTCCGAATATCCCCCTACCTCCACAACCAGTTATTACACGATGGGGAACTTGGTTACAGGCTGTGTTCTTTTTTTCGGAGCATTTCGACAGACTAAAAGTATTTATTTCCAACTTATCAGAGGACGCTCTCTCTATCACTCAGTGTAAAGGTTTAATAACAAAAACAACTTTGCAGTCGGAGTTAAATTTTCTTGCGACTTATTTTTCGTGTCTCCCAGAAACTATAAAATTCCTTGAAACCCGTAACTTACAATTATCGGTTGCTATGGAAAAATTTGAATCGACATTGTTACACTTAAAAAACGTAAAGTGGCCCTTACAAGATAAATTTAACCATAAAATAGATTGTGTTATTAAAAGAAATCCAAATTTACAGACTCTGAAACAAATCTCCCTGAACAATTTTAACGATTATGAAACTGCTTTAAAATATTGTGATTTTGTTCCACATTTTTCATTTGCTCCTGTAACGAGTTGTGACGTAGAACGATCGTTTTCTAGGTTTAAAGATTTATTGACTTCTAAAAGAAGTAATTTCACTGAAGACAATTTAGAAAAATATGCAGTCATACAAACATATTTTTCAAATGAAGAAGATTGATATTAATTTGTATTGTATATATTGTATATAATTGTATATTTGCTACTTTAGGATAAAGAGTGTATATTGGAACACTCTAAACATAAAACTAATGATGGTGTATCCTCGTTGATATATTTATTAGTCAATAATATATTAACAGAAAAAGCCAACAACATTATCCCACAACACAATAAAAAAATAAATAATAATATCATTTGTAATTATATAATAATATCCAACCAAATTTGAACTAAAATTTAATAAAATAATTATTGCAATGTAAATGTAATAATAAGCCCGCCCCAAATGTTACGCCCGGGCGATAAAAATCCAATATCTTATCTACTGTGTCGACCAGTTCAGTAAATAACTTGTTTTATTCAGAATGTATTATTCAAATCGAAGGTCCGCTCTTACCGTTACTTCGCTGATAAGAATAAATTAAATTGTCCGGTCTTTAGTGATAAAGGAAATGAACGAAAAACAAATAAACGAATTAAAAAATCAATAATTAAAAACAACATGGACAAACAAAATGCCTTTTTGCAAACTCAGAGTGAACAATGGCAAGAATTAATAAATAGATTGCTTATTGCGAATTATCCTTGGTACAACATGCAGACTACGGTGCATAAAATATTATTTCATTATGCTGAAATAATAGTCATTTCTGCTACCTATAGCTCAAATGACTGAAGAAGAACAAAGGCCTTAAATAAAACTATGAAAAAATACCGTAACGGGTTTTCAAGAAAGTTTTCTAGAAAGCAAACCATGGAATGTTTTTAAGACTTATGTTGTCATCTGACCCATTGATATCTAGTTTTAGAAGGCTACAAAAAAAAAATAATATTTTGACAAAGAAGTCATAAAGATGTTACTTGCTCCTGAACAAAATGATTCTATAGACGTGGACCAGGAAGAACCTGAAATGGACATCTATCACGAGGAATCATCAGATTTGGAAGCTACCGAATTAAGTGAAATGTAAGTAGATTAAATTTCTTCAGATAATTGTTATTTTCATTTTTCTTTGAAATATTCATGTTAATTTGAATATAAATTGTCATTCACAGAAGAAATAGCTGTTTTCTTAAATAGTGATAACAAATAAACATAATTTTTATGTCTATAGTTTTGGCCAGGTTTTTTAAATTCTGCTACTCTATGAGGCGGTGGAAAAAATTTTAATTTCATATAAAACACTACAAATTAGTTATCAAATTTGAAATTATTGTTTAATTAATTGTATTGTAGACAGGGACCGATTGTAAATGTAATTAAAAACAAAGCAAGTGAAATAAGACGTTCTTAGCAGGCCACGTGAGGAAGCCCTAAAGTAGACAAAAAAACTTTCTTCGCAAAACTAAGAATCCAGGCGATGCTTGGTGACACATTTTATAAAGCATGTGGTGAGGCTGAAGGTGGTGTAAGTAAACGTAATTAGAATACTCATATTTTTCAAAAACATAAAATATCAAGTAACAAAAAAACAATAAACATGCATACACACACATACACAGAAACCTAACATGCAATAACTGGAATACTAAGAATTAACTAATATAATAAAATATTAAAATGTAACTAAATATTAGAACTTAACTGTAATCAAATAGTAAAAATTAAAATAAATCACAGATTGAAAAAATATCTGAATATAATTGTAATATTGTGTTATTATTTACAGTTTGATTTTTTGTACAATAAAAATGCCCCAGTTATTGATGACCAAGTAGCATCCATATCGTCAGCTGCTCCAAGTAAACGTCAACATATAGAGGTGGAAGAGGAGGAATTAAATAAACAAAAACAAAATGACAAATTCGGAGAATTATATTTGAAAACCATTGCTACAATACAAGGAAATGGTCAGATAATAAATACCAGACCCTTAGGCATAAAAAACAGTATAGACTCGTTGAAAGATGCAGTTAATGTAAAAACATGCAATTGTTACAAATATTCAAAATAAAATGGGTATTTTTAAAAAGGAGAGGTAAATTTTTATCTTTTTTTTTATATTATCCAATTTTCTAAGAGTTAATAATTCTTACTAATTGTGATTAAATTATTATTAAAAAGTCCTATATAACTCTGTTATAAAAAAAATATGATTTTGCAATTAAATCTTTTTTAAAGAAGCAATTAACATTATAAAACTACTTTAATTACAAGAGGAAATGACACAAAAAATTATTCTGAAGCTAATTTTAGAATATTTAAATACATTGTTTTAAAGCGCACAAAAGCTTTTAGTGTAGTTAAATTATTAAGTTTTTTAACAGTTCAACTCGTAGATTATTATAAAAGAAGACTTACGGATATATTAAATGATAGACACGAGAGATATAGAAAATCTAAATATTATATACCTGATTCTAAACTAGTAAATTTATCACATAAAAAAATAGTGATAATAGTTATAGCATTACAAATAATGTAAAGAAAAGGAATATTTTGTAAATATTAAGAATTATACAGTGTGGAAACCACTTATGGAATAAAATTCTTTGTCATTATTTTAGAAAATTGTAAAAAATGCCGAGACACGTCAACTTTTGAATTGAGTTGTGCGTTATGTAAACATAAATTTAAATGTACAGGGTGATTCACGCAAGTATGCCATAGTCAGTGTTGTTTTTTTTTAATGAAACACCCTGTATATTTGCATATTTTCGAAATCCTCTTAATGAACCGATTCCAACAAACTGAATAGTGTATGGTCAATTATGAATTATACAGGGTGAAATTTTAAAATTAATAATTTATTACACTTGAAATATTGGTACTTTTTTAAATTAGCTAAATATGGATTTATCAAAAATCTAAACTAACTAATTATTAGACGTATTTGCACAATTAAACAAAACCTGCTACGCCCATGAATTTTATCATAAATACCTAAAAATTGCCTAAAAACGCCATTAATTAGACAAAATCGGTAAATAATGTGGATTGTTTTCTATTCTGTCAGTTGTTGATGTGTTGAGAGTTTATACTGAAAAAGTAAAATCTTTGTCAAACACTCTTTCCTTGTCGACATAACAATGAAATATTTAACTGAGACTCACCGAATTGAGATTTTAATGATGATCGGGTACGGGGGGGATAACTGCAGAAGTCAAGTTGAAGTGGCAAACTTATTTAATCACAGGTATCCCGAATTGCCTAATATTTCACAAAGTACTGTGTCTAAAATTCATGCACAATTCAGAGAACTTGGACATGTCAAACCATTGAAAAGAAAACCACACTTCGTTGAAGATGATGTGAAAGTGGATATTTTGTTAAGTGTCGAAGAGAATCCAACTTCAAGTACACGTCAAATTGCCCGTGAAAATAATGTTAGTCATACAACTGTTCTAAGATGTCTTCATAAAGAAAAACTTCATCCCTACAAATTAACTTTTGTGCAGGAGTTAACAGAAGACGATCCAGATCGTAGAATGGATTTCTGCGAAAGATTGATGAATAAGCTGAACAGAAATGAGATAGCTCTTGGTAGCATTCTTTTTTCTGACGAATCAACATTCACATTGAATGGAGAGGTAAACCGACAGAATTATAGATATTGGTCAGCAGAGAATCCTAATTGGATGCGTGAGACACATACTCAGTACCCTCAAAAGGTGAACGTTTGGGCCGGTATCATAGGCGACCATATTATTGGTCCTATATTTATAGATGGAAATTTGACAGCTGAAAAATATTCAAATATGCTTAGAAATGAAGTTATTCCTGCGTTGGCAAACTTATATCCCAACGCAATAGATCCTAGCTTACCGAATGAAAATGTTTGGTTCCAGCAAGACGGGGCAACACCTCATTATGCTTTAATGGTAAGAACTTATTTAGATGAAATCTTCCCCAATAAATGGATTGGACGAAGAGGTACTATTGAGTGGCCAGCTAGATCGCCAGACCTTACGCCGTTAGATTTTTTTCTGTGGGGTTATCTCAAGAACAAAGTATATGCAACACAACCAACTAGCATTGTAGACCTCAAAGACAGGATAACTACAGAAATACGGAATATTTCACCTCAAACTTTAAACAAAGTTAAGGAGGAGTTCTACAGGAGACTGTGCTATTGCCAACAACTAGGTGGAGGACATTTTGAGCATTTATTTTAATGTATTAAAATCAAATACATCAGGTATTTTATGTATGTGTTTAATAACTGTCAAAATAAAAATTTCACCCTGTATAATTCATAATTGACCATACATTATTCAGTTTGTTGGAATCGGTTCATTAAGAGGATTTCAAAAATATGCAAATATACAGGGTGTTTCATTAAAAAAAAAACAACACCGACTATGGCATACTTGCGTGAATCACCCTGTACATTTAAATTTATGTTTACATAACGCACAACTCAATTCAAAAGTTGACATGTCTCGGCATTTTTTATAATTTTCTAAAATAATGACAAAGAATTTTATTCCATAAGTGGTTTCCACACTGTATATGCTCATGCATTGTGGGAATACAAGTTGATCCATGCAAACATCAATATCACAAAAATACTACAACAATAAATGTATTGCTGAAACTCAATAAGCAAACAAATGTACTTTTGCACACAATACTGACTGATGATGTAGATTTTGATGATGTTTGGTACAATCCACTACATAAAAAGTTAGATATACCAGTACTAGAATCTGATACACCACCATCTGGAAAATTACTGATATTAGTAATAATTTACCTGTTACCAATAAAACAGATGAAAACTTAGAATGTAATAAGGAAGCTGTAAAAATAAAATTGGAGAATATATTAAATGAATTTAATAATTTATTAGATGCAAATCACATAGGGTACTTGCCTGCACTTGATAAGTTTTGCAATTCCTACAATAAATGTAAAAGCATCTCATCTAAAATTATCTACTTTACACACTTTTGGTACCAATTCTTGTACCGTTGGTCCTTTAATAAAAAAAAGAAAAAAATTTTCAAGGTGAAAAAGTTAAATTCTTTATTGGGGTCTAGAGCACTGGCAAACCGTATGTATTCGTTACTCAGTAACGGGTAGTCGGTCAGATACGAAATAAAAATTCGTTACTGCAATTTAAATTTCGTTACTTCGTTACTCGCATCTGCATCGTCGCATATAGCACAATAATACATACCGGTTCGGTGTGCAAGATGTGAGGCGGTCCGATGCGAAATGCGAGTGTGACCTTGATGCGAATCGAGCGATCCACTATCGAGCCGCACGACGACTGGAACTCGGAGAGTTCGTACGTCGCCAGACTAGAACTCTGAGGCGCTATTCTTGACATCGTTCGCAACTTATACGTACACGCACATTATGAACGGTCTAGTTGCGATCATTTCGCTAATATGCTATTCTTGAACACCGCTCGCAGAAACTTGCGAACATGTGCTATTCGGCTACCGGCAACATCGCATTTTTCTCAGCCCTAACTTCATAACAGTCATATGTCCATGTCAATCATGTCTCATGTCATTTTGAGTTTTGATTTTGTGGTGTGTTAAAGAATATTGTGTGGTTATATAGTAGGTGTAATTTATTGGTTATGGAAATATTTAAGTGGTGATGGTTTTATCTTAAGAGAAACTCATAATGTACTCAAGAAAGAAGATTTTGCCATAGGTTTTATGAATTCAACAATGGAGGATAAACTTAAACAATTTTCGAACATTATTTGCATGGATGGAACACATGGTACAAACAGAAAAGGAATGGATTTGACAGTCGTGCTTATAAAAGATGACAAAAATGCAGGATTTCCAGTGACCTTTTTCTTAACAAATAGGTTCGATCAACAAGTAGAGGAAGTGTTTTAGGTATGAAAAAAAGATATTTTTAAAATATATGAATTAAGTACTTCAAAATTATGTAAATTCTAGGTGCCCTAAAGATAAAATAAAAGATGAAATTAAACCAGACTATTTCATGAGCTATGATAATCCAAAATATTTCAATGCATGGGTGAAGATTATGGAAAATAAACCGAAAAGGCTGTTGTATACATATGGATGTGGTAAAGAATTGAAATATTCAAGGCAAAAAATTAAAGATATATGTATAAAAAGAAACATGAAAACTGAAATGAAGAAGATTTTGACTGAAACGAATGAAAAGGCATTCCTATTACTATCAAACGCCTACTTACTCAAACTACAAGAAGCAAATAATTTTGTGACATATTTGAAGTATATATACTAGAATATAGGAGTAAAACAATATAATGCTGTTAATATTTATGTTTTAGTTACTATTTTCAAAATGAAGAAAGAATATACATGTGCGCCCACTGTTATAGGAAGAATGCAGGAATAAACACAAATATGACAATAGAGACCCTAAACAACATGCTGAAAACGAACCAGTTGAAAAGGAATGCAAAGGTTACAATTGAGAAATTGCTTGAGGCTATAGAAGACTTAGTGTATATCAAAATGTGGAAGAGGATTTTAGATATAGAAAGACCTAATGCCAATAATTATCAAGACAGAATCATAATCAAAGCACATAAAAGAGCAGATGCAATGAAAATTAAGTAAAAAGTCTGGATATATTAGAAAAGTTTCAGGTAAAATCTACAAGAGACAAGAAAATATTTAACATAAGTTTCAAAAATGCTTGTGAGAGTGAATGTAGGACATTAGATTGTAGGGTATGTAAAATTGGTATTCATCGCTATATGTGTGATTGTTCTGAGTATACAGTGAGAAATACCTTGAAGCATGTACACTTGTTACAAATGTATGAGGAGCGTAAGGGTACTAACTCTGTTTTTGATGAGGCTGTTGAATATTTGGTGGAAAATTAATTGACCAATCATAGACATGACATAGAAATCAATCAATTTTTGGAAGAAAAAACAAAAGATGTTGAGAGGGTGCAGGATGAAGACAAGCATATAATTAAGAAAACTCATTTTCACAATTGGGTTGATGCGTTGGATGAAGGACCATTCGACGTTTTTATGAA